GTCTTCAGAGTCCGTCTTCCCGTTTGTGACTTGCCTAAATATATTATTACATTATATTATTATTTTTTCGAAGTACAATACAGCAGTTAGCTATGAAATTGGGGAAGAAATTTGATAAATGTTTTCGTTAGCTTCTTTAGCTATGGTATCTTCCCTAAAATTCGTTTTTATATTCTATGGCGGCAGTAAATTTGATTGAATGAAATTCTGATGTATAATGAAGCAAAATGCGATTTGGTACCATTATTGACGTCAACGTGTCTACGTAGTCGACGAGGACCGTTGCGCCACCCAAAAGAATTCCTTCTGCTTGGTAATCCTTTTATGTTTCACTTGCTTTATGCAGGGGAGACGCTGAGCGCGGTCCAGAAGTCACGTTGCTCCAGCGTGAGCTGGTGTCTGTTTGTGAGTCAGAGATCGCCATTTGCATTCACTTAGGAAAGTTCGTTTGTCGACATCCTGAGCAGTGGTATCCGCTTGTCTACCACTTAGTGGTTATGATCACCGGTTAAGATTTTATAGATCACCACCGCCTCGTTGGCGGAACGTTTCAGGTTTCGTGGCATTCTTTCACGGCTGCCATAACAGTGCATGCTGTCGGCACTATACTTCACCTTCGACAAGTACGAGAAATTGGTTTTCAAGGAGCGTTGTGTGGTGTCGTTTAAAATTGCTTCCAGATAAACTGAGAATGAAACTTCATGATATCTGAGCAACATCGCTCGTTGTCGAAAATTGTATAAGTTGTAAATGGATAAAATAACAGTGAAGTCAAGCACGAAAGCTTGGTTTTGAAATAAGTAGCGTTTTCTCAGCACAGTTTCTCGCTGGTCGTCTAAGTTCATGTTTTATGGTATTTCAAGCAGACAAATTTTTGTTTCTCCCAACCGCAGTTTCAAATGCAACATTTTTAGATTCGCTGCTTTTGCCGAGTTGTTTGAGGCTGCCGTGAAAAAGGGCGTCGTGCCGATTCAGAACTTGCACCCTGGTTATTACTATCACACGTCGGCAGAGTATTCTATGAAAAGAAGAAAAACGGTAGAAAAGTCGTCGATGCAGCTACAAAACTTGGACGGCAACCGTTTTGTTTGTCATTGGGCGCCGTCGGAATTTTATGGCCAGATGCGTCCGGTGATCGACGAGTCTTTGACTGTCGACTTTCTTGGTGATCGCCTGCAACAAGATTTGGTTCTGGCGACTTTTCAGCATGAGCTGTCTGTGAATCACGCCGCGATCATTTTGTCACTGCTGACCAGCGCTCTGACCCAGTTCAAAAAGTATCGTTGCTCCCGCATGAAGTTGATCATCATGCACGAAATGGCGGACACGTATTTTTCCATTGACAACTACGACATGGCCTTGCAGTTGTTGGACCAGCCAATGTGGGAGTATCGCCGAGGCAGTTGGTGGCTGTTGATGCGCATTTGTCTAGTGACTGTTCTAAAATGCGCCTACGTTTTGGGCAAATGGAAGACTTACGTCATCGCCTGTTTCGAAGCCCTTAATCCGAAGCTAGACATGTCGCTGTCTGAACGCAGTCGCTTGCACAACAACTTGCAGAAATTCCTTGACGGCATCGTTCCTGACCCAGAGCCTGACTTGAACCAATCGGACGTTGCCAGCGCGCAGACTTTGTGGAACGCGATCATAAGCGATCGGTGCTTCTTCCTTGTGCCGATGCACAGCATCAGGTCGTGCATCGACGTTCAAGTGTGCTTCAAGACAGAGACTGTCGAAGCAGGTTGCACAACAACCGTGGCTCTGAGCTTCACTTCAAACGCCGTGCTTCCTATCGGATTTTCGAAACTTGCCCTGCTGTTTAACAATTCCGCGTATGACTCAGATTTCGTAATTGAAAACGCGGCGTTTCTCATCCTGAATCCCGGTGAAACTAAGAACATCGACTTTGCCTTCTCGCCTCTGCCGGAGGACACAGGCCACGAAATATTCGTAAGCGATGAATATGATCTTTAAATTTAAAGGTCATTTTGACCTTTCTTTGTTATAATCTTTCGAACCGTTTAGGTTAAATCGCTTAAGCTCAGCATCGGACAGCCGGACGCCAGCATCTGCGGAACGTTGCAGTGGGATCTAGATGTTGAAGATGTTGCAGAGGTCCGCTCAAAAGTGCCTTTCGTCTCCAGTTTCACGAAATCAACTCGTTTGAGGTAAATTTCTGAAGTACTGCCTCTGTCTTTGCCGATATATGAAAATAAAGTACAGCTATTCACCGCAGGTAGATAGTTTATTTGAATTACCCGACCTTTTTACAATTTTGACTGCAACTCATCTACTTCATCCGATAAAGCGTCCGGAAGGAACTGCTCTCGCGATTCAGAAGGAGTAACAACCATTGAAAATGAATCTGAGTAGATTTTAGATGCATTATGAATAAGATGTAGTATATGTCGACATCTGTACATTGAATGAAGGTCAAAATGCGTCAGATGAGACTCGAAATGTGAATGATATGTGTGATAAATGTTATCGCAGAGATATCTACCAAATAATTGACTTAATTTCCTTAAATACAATAAATTCTGCGCGGTATTATAAAATGTTGCATAAATAAATACTGTAATTATACATTTAGAGGATGAATGCCCTTGTCTTCTATTACCAGTTCAGCTGCAAGATTGCATATTGTTAATTGGAGCTTTCCGTTATCCTTTATCTGCCGAGGGGGCTGATAAGAAGAACCTTACAGCAAAACTCAAGTTCCATAACTACAATCTGTTGAAGGTGTTATTCATTATATAATTGTGCATTGTCCTTTACTTAGTGTTTTATGGTTTCACTATGGAGAAAAGTAGAGCTGGTTTCGAATCTTTTATTCGTGACCAGGGAGCTTAGCCGTCACTGAAGCTTAACAGTGAGCCAAAATGGCAAAATCGAAAGGCTGCGCCTAGTGAATGGTGTTGAATCATCAACTTAATCGTTAAATCATGCAATTAGTCATATTTCATTTTTCGTCATAGGGATGTGAGCTAATTTGTTAATCTGCTTATTGTCCTTGACTTGCATTGATCTGTTCGAGGTGACATTCAGCCTGGTCTTTTAATGTTCTTTCTTGTATGATTGATAAGGCCAATAAACGATAAATTTTTTCAAATGTAGCTTTAAATTGTAAATTTATATTATTACTTTTTGTTATAAATACGATTATATTCTCATCTATATGCTGTTATTTTGACTTTTAGGGTATTAGGGCGTACTGCGAGAGCTCATTTGAACGTTGATGGTGACATGGTTTCGCTTTTTGGTGAAATTTATCCGGTTGTAATATCCTTTGATAACACGGAAGCCGGAACAGTAAATAATGTAAAGTTCGTACTGTCACAATTCTCATGTCACTCTTGTGCGTTATCCCAAGTGCATTCAGATTAACTGTCTCTGTGGGAAGCAGTGACCGTTCGCTTGCAAGAACTCAGCTGGGGCGCAGCTGCGAGACAATCGATTCTCAGGTCATAACGACCTTACTTGAATCCGTTGCCAGTGACTCGAAAGTATGTGACTTGAACTAGCTTTATGATCCTTATGCGTTTCACTTATTTTTTAGATACCCTGTACAGTGTTTTTCCGAAGTGAGGACGAGGTCGAGAAAGTCACTTTAAACATACAGGTTTGCAGCACTTTTTATCTTGTCTTTTTATGCTTAAACGTCATTTGTCGTCAACGAATACGGTGATGTCAAATGCATCTAAACTGCAGATACTCAAATACGATGAAGTTTTGGCCTGCTTAAACACCCCCTGGGCAATCAGATGTAATATGCAGTACATTGTGAAACTGGATTTGGGGGAGCTATGGAAAACTCATACATTTAATGCTTCTGCGGTATTCCTTTTACATATATGAAGCCCTTGCTCCTGAAACATGGTTCGATAACGAACAAGAGATCCCTTAGCGAAAAAGATGGCTCATTATGGATCTAACATCGCAGGTGCTGAAATGCAGTGTTCCTCTGCTCTGTCTAAATGCTCTTTGGGCAGTTAATACCTACAGGCTGTGATGCATTGCCAAATCTGGTATTGGTGGTGTTAGGCGCTTGTTAATGACTATTAATGAATTATAATTTTGGTTACCTGTGATTACTTTAACTTGATTTACAGGTTTACTATGAGATTGAACTCTTAGTCGGTGGCAAGCACCTTGTCTTCGCTAGCACGTTGCAGTGCAGTGCGGTGATTTGTATTTTGTCACCACTTGCAGTCGACTCGCATTTGCTTTCTCAACGGGTAGAATTTCATGTAGCTAGTTTAAGGTAGAATGTACTGATTTGAATTTTCAGGGCGAATGTATCGAAGAGTTGGTGGTCGGTCAGGAATTTATTCTTAATGCAGTTCTGAACTTCGGAGATATTGAAGTTTGTGTTGTAGACGTTGTTCCCGAATTGGTGACGAATTTTTCTTATTCTTATAATCGTCATAAAAGTGTAAATTCTATCTTTCAGAAGGACGAATTTCGATTGAAAGAAATTGATAAGTTCCCATTAGAAAAAGGCAAGTCTGGCATGCGCATGAATAGGTTTGCAGTATCTCAACAGTTTCATGCGTAAAACGCGCTGTTGGTTAGGATTTGTTTATTCTGTGTATGAATTTCCTAGCCTGTCATTTAGTGCGATGACAGTTCATAGCACTTGTCGCGTTCAGCTTCATTATTTTCTCTAAGCAGTTAGCTTCATTCACCGTGTGCGTCTTGTTTCTCTACATACTTCGACTTATAAACCATGTATTTTTGATGTTTGGGGAACACACATGAAATCTGTGGGCTTCTAAAACTTCATTAGCGAGAAGCAGCGTGATGAGTGTAGAATGAGGAAGAATGAGACATGCGTTTGGCACTGCTTGTTCTAAACGACCATTTAGACGTAGGTTATTTGCCGCTTGTCTACTTTCGAAGAATCGGAAGAAACTGTTATATCTGTTACACTGAAGATCAGTGTCATTCTCCTCGATTTCAGGAATTCCGAGGAAGCGATACCTTTAATTTTAGTCAGAGAGATGCCTCACGCCGTTCACTGTATTCTATTTTATTTATTTTGTGCTGTTTAACTTCGATAACTTTTCGATAAACAAAATTCTCCTTCAGGGGAAACAGCTCTGTTGAGCTGTATTTGTTTGGTTACAACGTATGTAAATTATTGAGCTGCTGCTCATAACGCTAATACTAGAAATTTCCTTGTATTTACTGTACTGTAAGATTTAGTGGTAAACTCAACCTCATGTTATGTTTTATAGTGAATATGGAACGGGGTTCAACCTACGAACTGTGCTACGTCGCTGTTCCTCTGACCGCTACCGAAGCGGCGTCCATCGGGTGGATTACAGTCTCATGGAAAAGGTAACGGTGAGAACGATGGAAATGTCAACTCTGTTCCTCCATTTTACAAATCCTCAGCATGTTGGCTCTTTAAAATGATGAGTTTAGGTACGCGGATTACGATTACGGCTTCACCGTGACCAGGTTCCCGTTGGTCAAAGCGCCGGTAGTCACATGCCCGGTGCTGGTTTCGTGCAATATGCCAGCTTATGGCTTCATTCGGACATCTTTCCACCTCACTTATACTATTCGAAATATGGCCACCGAGATTGCTGATCTTCGTCTTAAGGTCGAACCGTCAGAAATGATAATGTTCTCCGGTCTTCTGGAAGTAATGCTGAAGTTTGTCAGTGCTTGATGGCTAATTGTGCATGAGGTGCAGAACTTCAAGTTTGTTCTCATTCCTGTTAAAAATTTTGCGCTGGAC